CAGTTTGGGAGGGGAAACCAAAACATAAAACAAACAAACTTGGGAAGTTTTATCTTCTTGAAAATACATCAGAAACCTTTGTGTGTTCATATTGAGCTAACATTCTGTTTCACTGCTCAAATCTTTATTATATGCAAATATTTCAACTAATTTTTAATTAGCATTTCCTCTTCTATCCTTACTGACCAAAGGGAATATGTGATGCATATTCTTGCTTTAAAGTTCTTTTTGTGTGTCTTATACTTTATAATGCATTATTTTCTTTCTGAGAATGGATAGAACTCCTAGTTCAATCTGGCAAGAGATTAAAAAACAGTAGTAGTGCTCAAAAGCTGTTCTGTTCTCATCACATCGACTTAAAGAATCATGGATAGCTAACACAGGAATACTATAAGTTAAACCATGTATTTTTGTGGGGATTTTTTTCTATTAAAATCTATAGCAGTTTGATTCAAAGCCCAACAAGAGAAGCAGAATTTTCACGTTTTGTAATTATAGACAGTACATAGTAATAACCAGCTGGTTATTGACATAAAAGCACAACCTGTATATGCAAATTAGGCTATCTTGACTGTCATTAGAGACAACAGCTTTAAGGATGATGCAGCAATAGATGGTATTTGCAGCAGGGACAGAGGAGGTGTGTCCCTGATGCCAGAAAAAAGAACAGCGACAAAAGAAAATAAGCTCTCGAGTCAGCATTTGTAAAGTCCATTGTCATTGCAGTAGCAGCTGCGTGTGGAAATGAGGCAAATAGAATTTGAAATGAAGAGCTGGAAAAGAAATTGCCACTTGCCTGCAGGGATGGAGACAACTATTGGGCCTGATTGCCAATTAACTGCTCTATTTTTTTCTGACAGCTTTGATAACAGGTCAAAAAAATGGCAGGAACTGCTCCTTGACCTATTCACTTCATCCTGTGTGGTTGCTCAGCCACAGATACTCCACTGCACACAGAGAAATACCACGATGGTTGGTATCTTGTGTTGTGTTGGATGTGGACAATTTCCAGGAGACTCCAGGGAACTGTCTTTAGACACAGAAAGCCTTCCAGGCGTGGAAGGCAGGCTAGGGATACATGAATATTGTCAGTTCATGTTAAGGATATTGTCAAGGACTAAAAAGAGGATCAAGGGTGCCTTTTCATCATTAAAACAGTGTTTGTACCTACCCTGTCCTGGGACAGCAGGAGATGTAAGCACAGACTACAGACAATCAAAGTGTCATCTGAACGCCACCAGAGTACAGAGAAACGTTCTCTCTAAACGAATGTACTTTCCAACAGGTAGTCATAGTTCCAAGACAGGTACCTTTGGAGGCTAAATCTTGTCAGAATTGCCTGTGCACTGAGTCATCTTGGGTGCTGATAAGCCTGGGTGTGCAAGGTATTTATTAGCTTAGATAGAAGGTCCCTGTTTCTGTATTGAAATTGTCTGAAATGTCTGACTAGTTTGGGTGTTGTCTCTGATGGTTCAAACTGTCTCTCCTGAATGCCAGAACCATGATTGCAGTACTTCTGCCATTTAATTGACCAGCTAATTTACCCTGTAATGATATCATAGGCTATTTAAGGCTGTCTCTTTAGAGCAGAATTATTAGCTTTATTTATCTGCTTCATTCAAGAACAGATGTTTCTACTGTGTAACTGAAATAATCTACATCTTTGGAAATCAAAGATTGCTATTTTCTGAAGTAGAATATGATGTGAAATCTAAATCATGAATCATAAAAGGGCAGCAGTGAAACTAATTGCATTGCAACTTTTCAGAAGTTGTTTCTCATAAAATCTGACTCATAATAATGGTAAATAGTTAAAAACATTAATAGGACGACAGAAGAGATGTTGTCTTTTACACCTGCATGGCTAAATAGTTCACTTATGCTTTGTCGTGTTGTTTCTGTGTTTCAGAGAATTGTCATCTGGTTTTTTGCAGATTTGGAGTCCTTTAAATTTCCTTAGTAATTTGGATTTAAGTGTTTTATTTTTTCACCAATTTTTCCACAGTTCATTATTTCTTTAATTGCCAAACCAGGTTTCCAGTGAAGGTACTTGCACTTCCAGAAACATCTGTGTGAAGGGTAATTTTTTTTTCTGAATATATATTTTAAATATCTTTTTTCTTTTGAATATGAAGACTGTACATGCTATTGGTAAGCTTAGCAAAATGGATAAGTAGGATTTTAGTACTTAAATAAGATCTAGTGACATGAAGGAAAAAGACTTAACTTGCCACCCACTCTCAAGGCCATATCCTGTGTGACCTGCAGGAACAGTCCCAGTGAAGACACAGAAAATACTAACCCAAGTAAAGCAGACAGGAGCTATTTAGAATAACCCAGTGTTGTTTAAGAACTCTTTTTACATAGCATCGTGGAAGAAAAACTTTCCACAAAAGGTGGGAAACAAAGGGACAGTCTTTCCCAAGGGCATCCAGCATGATCCATAATAAAACTAGTTGTTGAAGGCAGGTTTCCCCTTCTAGAGTCTTGTCCAGTGGGTAACAGTACTGTTCTGTTGATATGCACAATTTTTGGGGAACAAGCAGCTGCATATAGCAGATCTGAATTTAATTACTATGAGCAAATGATAGCTTGGTCATTACAGGACTATTTTTTTTCTTGCTCTAATGCAAAACCACTAAACCAGAAGGGGAATAATTCACAAGTATAGAGCAACTTTGATGGAAATACTTATGTAAGGTGGATTTTTGCCCCTTTTGGCTTATAAGGTAAAATCAAAGATTAAACTTTGATGTTTATGGAAGGCACAGCCCCACCTGCAGCACGTTGTGTTCTCTGTCTCCAACCAGGTGCTGTCAGAGCTGAGTGCAGGCAGGTGGTGCTGCCCTGGCTTGCCTTGTGTGTGCCCATGGCACGGGCACAGTGGGAAATGGCAAATACAAGCTTGTGTATTGAGACAATTGTGTGTGACTTCTGTACAAAGCTGCACTTAGTACCAACAAGTCTGAATCATCCTGTTGCAGTAAAGCTTCAATAAGAGGAAATGGGCAAAGATCTGTCATGGGGATTTATTGACCTCTTGCCTTCAGTTTTGTTTTGCTTTTTTATGGAGGTCAGTAGAGAAAGATTCACGCTGAGACTCCAGTCTTTGCTCAGTAAAAGCCTTCATTCGGCTCTTTGACAGTGTTATGAGACAACAGGGTGTCAAAAGAGTGGTGCAGGTCAGGAGCTGTGAAAAGGCTCCTCAGTGTTCACCCACAGATTGTAGGCAGGTACTTGAAAGTGTCCCACTGAGGTTTATTGCTGTGTAAATGCTGGAATGCTCAGTGCTTGGCAGGACTAGATCCTAGCACTAACCACTACTTGGCAATGATACTGCACTGCACTTAGGAATTGATGTTTCTAAAAATTGTTTGTTGAAGTGTGAGGAGACTTTAATGTTGGAAAACCACTCAAGCATGGAGGTAGATTACTGGTCCGTGCTTATATGCAAATGGAAGCACCAAGTGTATGTGAACAGGTGCTGCTGTTGTGAATTCTCAGTCCCTATTACTGAGTGAAAAGAATTGTTGGGTATTTGAGGTACTTTAAAGTGTTGTTTGTAATGTTTTAAGTGTGCTAGGCCTGGACACGTCATTCAAGTTCTGGTACCTTGTGTTGAAAAGGTCAGTAACTTATATGTATGTGGAATTACAGCCTTATATGTTTCCTGTTTATTATTATTAGGTAGAGACAATTGAGGACAACAGTTCCTGCTGCCCAAAGATGGAAAACAACATAACTACTATATCTCGGGAAGAGCTTGAAGAACTAAGAGAAGCATTTGGCAAAATAGGTATGTTTTAAATAATAAAACAATAAGGATGCCATTAACATTGCAAAACTTTATGATTTGTGGAAGAAATCTTTATGGATCACCTTATTTTGATAGGGACGTATTTTCCCTCTGTGTTGCCGGTAATATCTAATAAAATAAGAATGTTTGCATAGAGCCCCATATTTTCACTAAAACTATGTGTGTTAATTTCTTTCACCTTCAGCACTGAAAACAGATGTATTTTCTTGCTGGGCAGTTGCATTATTTGTGCCTTTGCATATGCTACATAATAGGTCTCAAAATTCAGTTTTTTGATTTCCTTAAATCTGCAAAAAAAGTTTGATTAAGCTTCGGGTCTTATATATTTTCATGTTAGATTACTGGCACTTGGGTTTTACTTTACTTTCATGCTTTGGTGAACTAATAATTCCTCTTTTCATTTATTCTATTGGATTTTACATTTTAAGTAAGCCAAACTTGCAGATTTTTTAGTCTTGCTTTTGTAGCTAGCAGATGTTAATAAATAACTACAATTTTCTATGTTTGACAGGATGTTTACAGATTAATCAGAGTAAACAGAGTGAGAAATTAGATAGCAACTAACCCTTATTTCCAGATTGCACTGCTGTTGTTAAAGTTCATGTCTGCTCTATTTCCTATTTGCTGCAGTTTTGGGGGGTGATGTGTGACTGCAGCTCAGGAAATCAAACAGACATGTTTGCATTCAGTCATAATGGGGGGAACAGGGGAATGTCAGGCAAGAAGTCTTAAATGTTATGAGTCTTTAGCTTGGTGAAGAAGCTATTGGGAAACTGTATGTTAGAGATTTAAGACAATGAGTAGGAGGAGGTGAAGAAGGAATTATGCAGGTTCTGTCAATAGAGGTATCACGTGATGCTCAATAGAGTCAGAAAGCTTAAAAGAGAAAGAAGTAACTTCTCTTCATTATAAATAATTAAACCATGAACCCATTGACTCGAGACCAAAAAAGAGTAGAAATCCTAAAAGGAGAAAGATACATCCATGGAAGGTAATTCATGAGTTGCTGTTAAAGACTCCTCATGACATCTGTAGCTCAAGGAATCTGTAGCCTGGAGGTGCTGGAACAACAGGCCAAAGGGAAGAGCACTGTATACCTGTATCAGTGTAACATCAGGGAGATGTTAAGATAGGTAGATACTCACTGGTGTTGTCTAACTGCTTTTCTGTTTGGTTGGTTTTTCACCATCTGCATTCCTTCTTTTTCTCCATTTCCTGCCTGTGTGTTTTCACACTTCTGCTGTAAGAATTGTCTGTCCTGCTCCTGTTCACTGAAAAGCACTTTCTTCTTTATGCTTTCTGTAAAATACAGACATTAAGCATCATTATTTTATTTTTTTTTTCATTTTTACTTTTCCAATGTCTTTATGGATAAATTCCTTGCAGCTACATTGGTAAACTGAGAGAAGGCATGTATTTAACTCTCAGCTTGTCATCATGGAAACTTACCCCCCGTGAAAGATGAACCTAGAGAAATAAAATAGCTGGTAATCTGAGTGAGCTCATGAGCATGTCCTCTGCTGTTTAGACCATCCCTATTATTACCTGTAGTTTTACATGTCTGCAAGCCAGTGGATGAATTAATGCAGTTGCAGACATAAAATTTGTCTGTGTAGTGATTTATGAGTTGTTGATAGTATTGAAAACACAAAATTATTTTTTTAATCAGGTGTTTTTAGCCTTTTGTCAGCAGTGAAATGTGGCTGCCTTGTGAAGCTGTACAGAAGCTACACAGTGTAGTATGAATACAAGAAAATTACTGTACAGCAATCAATTATGGCTAGAGATGAAAGCATGTTTCTCTGCTTGCCTTTCTGCAGTGAGAGGCACATTCATCCACTGTGGTATTATTGGCTGAGTTCTGATACCATGGACAATATGAAGAGAGGTTTTTAACTAGGAAACAAAAAAAAAAAACCCAAAAGTGGGAGCACCTTGATAAGTCAGAAAGGTGGTCACATCATCTGCTTCTCTTTTTGACTGACTGTGATGTTCTCTTAAATTGCTTCCCTTAGATTGATTGTTGGTAGAGCTGGGAAAATACTATTAACTAATATTTTTCAAGAGCTTTAATATGATCGTAGACATTGTAAATTATTGTCAAACATGGAAAATATTAACATTAAATATATAAAATGATGGGCATTATATCCAGCGTTACTTAGGCTGGATATGATTTCTTGTATTTGACTGAACTTCATCTATACTGTGTATGGACTATAGCTTTTCTGATTTTAAAAGTACCTCTCTCCATTGTATAGCCAATGCACTACAGGTACAGGTAAGGCTATTTTACTGGCATATTCAAATTCTGCTTGTATAAATATGTGTATACATATATATGGAAATATGCATAGATTTAAAAAAACAGGAACAGTTAATGTGGTTGGTTCATTTATATGTTACTCTGGGTAAAAACATAGGTGTAAAATGATGCTTTATTATACTAAGATGAATTCAAGTCAGCTTTCTGCACAGAGATTGGCCTAAGGTGAAAGTACAAAGGGTATTTTTGATTGTTTCTCTGCAGCTGCATTATTCATGATGAGTAACACAAATTATACTCAGTTTTTCTTAATTTATTTTTATGATACAGCCATTAATTTCTTTCCACAATTGTGAAGCTGTACTGTACTTCTTTTGGAAAAAAAAGCATTCTAATACTTTGCTGTACCTGAACATTCTTGCCATGTGGTCTTGGGAGCCAAGTGTAAGTGAAGGTGGCAGCACAAATTGTTCCCAACAGAGCTAGTTAATAGATTAAGGAAGGTCACCTTTAATAAACAGATACAGATCATCCTGGATTTATTCTTCACAGGTAAGCCTAACCACATCAAAAGTTTTGAAGAACAGAAAATGTCTATCAGATACTAGGATAAGAAACAAAATGCAGAGTCAGGCAGAGTTCTTGTGTAAGTAGTTTTTCTTGTGTAAGTGTGCTCTTCTAATAACAACATGCATCAGGTCTGAGTTTCCTGATTGCAAATGGTATAATATTGACAGGAAGCATATATTAATTGTTCTCCCTCTCACTTGAAGGTTTATAGATAATTTTGTTGGGCGTCTTAAAAAGAAAAAAAAGCTTCAACTTCACTACTTGAAAATTTGCTATCTTGTTATAGCTATGCTTTGGATCATAAGATAGCTCCTGAGAAAGTACATCACAAGATGGCACCAGGCCCAGACAGTTGTCCCTCTAATCCACAAGCATTCCTTCATACTTACTTATGTCTGCCAGGAAAAGAAATACTTATCTGCTAGAACTGCATTTCTCACACTTGATTTATTCTTTACAGTTACTACACTTGGTTCTTTATGTAAGTGTAACAACTTGTGCCTTCATTTTACAGACATTGACAACAGTGGGTATGTCAGCGATTATGAACTTCAGGACCTCTTTAAAGAAGCAAGTCTGCCCTTGCCTGGTTACAAAGTCCGGGAGATTGTAGAAAAAATCATTTTAGTGACAGATAGCAACAAGGATGGGAGAATCAACTTCGAAGAATTTGTCTCTGTAAGACACTCTCTTTGGATGTTTCTCTACTGTCTGCTACCTGTTAAGAATTAGGATAGAAAACTGAATTAAGTGCTATAACTAAGTACTATTTTAGATAGATATAACTATTATTTTGAGTTTTCTGTGACAATTTAGAATATCCTATATAGTTATTTTACTCTTTCACTCTCCTTTTTAATTTAATAGATCTGACATGAGCAGCATGTGAGAGTGCCTTAGTTGAAATAGTCCTGTTTTGTTTATTCAAAGATGAAGAGATGGACTACATATTTTAGGAGCTGTTGGGCCAGCCCTTGCTCTGACAAAAGAGCAGACAATTAGATACCAGGCTTTGAATGCTCTTAGTAGTGCAAACATTAGTCTATCACTATGCTTAATCTCTGTGCTAAAGGCTGTTTATTACTGGGACTGAGGCACAGTTTTTCCCTTTCAGTGAACAAATTTCAAAGGTTTAGACTTTCTTAAATGAGGATTACTCACTAGTGGGCTTTAAAAGAAACAAAAGCTTATCAGGCCGTTGATTAGTGTGTGTTTGGGATGATTATTTTCTGCTTCCAATTTGGAGTAGTGCAGCTCATTGCAGCAGGATGCTTGTTAAACTAGCTATTGATCTTTCAAGATTCTAATTTGAAGTGGTTCATAGGTGAGATGCAAATATTTGCCTCCACATGTTGAACTGTATTACTTCCTTGTCAGTTTGAGATCTCTACAATATTTTGGCAAATCTAGGATGTGGTTTACATTGCAGGCAGGTGAATAAATGGTATTAGCTTGATTAAGGACATGTGTAACTGTCATGTTGTCACCTTTTACTGTGCAGCATGTGGTGAAATAAGCGGGAGAAATATGCTATAGGCATCGAAAATGTGCATATCTTTAGATGTGTGTTTCAGTTTACTAAAACATCTATGGAAAAATTGTGTAAATATTTGTATGTCTACTTTTTTAGTTACCATGGCTTAATAAAGTTATTCACTGAGAAATAATATGTTAGACATCCACTATGCAAGTTTCATGAGAGGGTTTAAACTAGTTTTACCCATACAGTAAATTTTTCTTTTAGAACAGAAGTCAGTGTAAATAGGCAGTCAGGTTAACTACTAACTCTAGAGTACTTATATGAATTAACACTTAGTTATCTGAAAGTATGATCAATCACAAAATACTCTCTACTCTTTTGATTTCAGATAATTCAGGAATTGAAAAGTAAAGATGTCAGCAAATCATTCCGAAAATCAATAAACAAAAAGCAAGGTATTACAGCGATTGGAGGAACATCAGCAATCTCTAGTGAGGGGACACAGCACTCTTATTCGGGTAAGAAATAATGAAACATGAGCAAATTTTGCATGGAGGAAACTCTTTAAATTTGCACTACAGACAAAAAAACCAAACAATGGAAAAATGTTGGTGTTGAAAGCAAATTAACACAGAGAAAGTATGTGGAGATAGACAAGTGTGGACAATAGTTTATTAGCTATGTTCAGTTGTTACTAGTTTCATGCTGTACTTGGAGGCAAGTGGGACTCTTTGCAAGAGCAAAAGAGCAAAACAAGCAGTGACAGCATGTAAGGGGAGAAAAATGGCCCCTTTGGCCTTCTTCTAGTAATGGTAGTCAAGCTTTTGCCTTCATTACATGCTAATCTACTCTTATTCCTACATTCAGATAAAAATGAATTCTCATTTTCATTTCCACAGTGTTAATAGCATAAACTAAAAAACCCTTAACAAACCACCATATATCCTTTGTGGGTGGAATGGCCCCCTCAGTTGTCTCTGCCATTACAGAATTGTTCAGTCCTGCATGGTTTTTGCATAGCCTCTCTTACACTTAAGAAGCTGCTTTTAATATTTGATCCGTTTCTTTCTGCCTCCCCCTGCTGCATGTAATTTAAGTTGGTAATTGTGCCTAATTGCATTGCAGCTCCTGGCCAGAGTGTTAACCACCTTCCAGGATCACATTGCTATCAGCAATATTGCAACTTTTTTTGATTGATTTGAGTCTGGAATTTGCAGTGGTTCCAGACTGTGTTAAGATTCCATATATGAGAAAGAATCATTTTGGTTAGCCAGAGGTGGCAATACCCTCTGTTTCAGTATGATTCTTATAGCACCAGCTGCACTTGGTAGATCTCCAAAGCTGGGAATATGTTCCATCTCAAAGGATGCCTGTAGGGCATCAGAGGTAATGGTTTAGACTCCCTTTCATTTTTGGTGGAGAGAAACAGACCCCACTGAAGTGCAGTTCATGTGGCCTGGCCTCATCACCACCTCATTTATGATGAGATGAAGGGTGCACTAGAATTTCACGTTGTTTCCCACTGACAGTAGAAGAAGTGTAAGGAGTCAGGTGTAGGTACCTCTCTTGTTTGCTTCTTGAGGTGAGAGGAATACCACCTGTGCTGTTTGGGAATGTGGATACTGATACTTGACTGACTGTTATCCCGATAAGCTTTCTTAGATACACAGTAATAAATTCTGCACTAAATATAAAGAGAATTTAAAACTGAGATATTAAACTTCTTAAGTTTCTCAAAGCTAAATACAGCTCAGCAGTCCAGATCAGAGTCTCAAAAAGATTGCAAGTCTCTCAGAATGAAATGCTGTGTTTTAAACCAATGGTGTATAAATTCTGTTGTTGCACATTTCTGATCAGAAATCTTCCTCTTTTCTTTGTAATTGCTGAGAAACTGAATTTGAAGTCAGCCACGAGGATGCCTTCCCTATGATGTCCCTTTGATTTTTATGTTCTTCAGAAAATCACCAGATATTTCCAGGGTGCAGTAGGAGAAAGATCAATCTGTACTTGCCATTTTTGTGTTCTTTCCCACTGGTCTGATTCTTTTCATAATTGGCCTCTGTGAAACTCAGGGGTTTTATTGCAGATGAACCTCTTTGACCCATGTATGATGTTTAGTAGTATGTGTTCATGGAAATGATAATCCACTATTTTAATGCTGTCTTTTTTTTTCAGAGGAAGAAAAAGTTGCTTTTGTTAATTGGATAAATAAAGCTCTACAAGATGACCCAGACTGTAAGCACCTCCTCCCCATGAACCCATCAGATGCCAGTCTGTTTAAATCCCTTGCAGATGGCATCCTTCTTTGGTGAGTCCAAGAAAGAAAAGAAATTAATCTCAAAGGTTAAATGCTGATCACAGTGACATGAATTGGAAAACTTCTGATAGGCTTTAACATCAAGATTCCACTCCTAAATATTTCAACCAATGTGTAAAATGGGGAAAATCTGTTTGCCCATAGAAATGTGATTTTTAGCAAATTTTTTATATGACTCTGTGCATATGTTATAGAAGTGGTTTTCCACTTCACACCTGTAATTATGCTCGTCAGATATGTGCAGGCTGTTTATAAAGGAGATGATAATTCCGCAGTTCATATATTCATTAGTGGAAATAATTAGAAAATGTTTAAAATATTTTTAGAAGTTACTTATTATAGTCACTAAATCATGGAACGGGAGGAACAGAAATCTGAATTAAATCCATGGCAAAACAGAGAGCATATAGTAGGTCCCTTAACTTCAGTTTGCTGTAACTTTCTAGTTAGTTAAAGTGGATTAATAGTACTTACTCATACACCATGCTAAGAAGGGATCAGCATGTTAGTATTGATGTGAATTAGTCTTTGAGATCCATGTACATACAAGGTACTACAAAAATGCAATGCAGAAATACACTGACTATATTACAAAATTTGTCAGTAGAGACCATTTAACTGACTTTGGTTTACAGTTATAATCTTCTCAGGACCTTTTTGTGACAGTACAGACATGCTCTATTAATTATAAAAGCCAAATGCTCGAGTTTCTTTTAGCAACATTATCTGGGGTGTTCTGAATGAATGTGCAAGTATTTAACGGGGAGAGGAGATTTAGAGGATGATGAGGGTTTTTTTAAATCTTGTCATAAGTATTTTCAGCTAGTTTGAAGTGTTACAAGTTTATAATCAAATAGTATATTTTCTGTAAAATGAAAGTTTGAATTAACTCTTGATTTTTCTTCCTTAGCAAAATGATCAATTTTTCACAACCAGATACAATTGATGAAAGGGCTATTAATAAGAAAAAACTCACTCCTTTCACTATTTCTGTAAGTACTGCATGGATAGGAACTCGCCACAAATGAAAAAGTATTTTTCTGATTTAGTGACAGTTCTCCTGGTGGAGAAAAAAAAATAATTAAAACTCCTATATAATAAAAAAATCGTAAAGC